TAAGTATAGCACGATCAATTCGTTCGAACTAAAATCAATGAGGCTAATGGAAGAATTTTTTAATGGATAAGTTCTTTTAATAGCTATCACCATTACTGATTAGGCTGGTGCACTGGCTGCAAAAGCAAGACGTTCGATGCTGTTCGATCGGATGTCACCTCTGACAATAAAAGAAACCATTTTTTTCATCTTTTTTCCATCGTTTTTCATCAACATTTATTGCTGGGCCATCTATACGTTCAATTTTTTCTGTCTTTCCTATATCGGTCCAAGTCTTGGTTGCTCCACCTCGCTTTTGACGCCACTCATCAAAGGCAAGTAACGAAATCTGCTAATTCCTGTGGTGGATGACGAAGAACCAACCAGCAAAGACGGTAACAAACACTTTGTAATGCTATTGTTAGTGCAGGCGGTATTTGAGCGAAGATGGATGTAACCATGTAAGGCTTTATGCGCTCGGCGGACCAGTAAAATGAATTTTAGACATGAGTGGAAGCTAATTTCTTAATATCCTCCAATCTTATCGGCCATGTCGCATATAGTAAGATCATATAGTAAGATCGAAAAAATGCAGCTATATGGACTCGAACATTCGTTTTTATGGTGATTTCGCGACAGTTTCATAAATGTTTCGTCAATCGCAAGAATGAATTTCGAGAATGAATACTGTTGTCCGAGTTGTAATTTCGTCTTTTGCCTAGCGCTAGCCGTCTGGGATTAAAATAATCTAAGATATTTAAAGTATTTAAAGTCTGGCATTCCCTCAGCCAGGGATGAGTTGATAAAAAGATGAAAAGGTTAAAGGTTTTCGCCTTGTTTATAATGATCTTGAGTCCGGCTCTCGCAGCAGTTCTCGACAAATTTTTTTAATATTATTTGCATTTCTTAGTCTCTGATATGTATAATTCTTGAGTGCAGGCTATGTCCATTATCCAATCAATTGTATGAAATATTGAAATATTGTAGTTGAAAAAAGAAGAGCCTTGGCGTATATCAGTTCTTATTTCGAAAGAGTTAGTTCTCCATATATAGAAACCTTTACGCTGGTAAAATATTTCTATGAGTCGAATGAATTGAATGAATTATAATGGATGAATTATTATTGGCTAAAAGGTGTGCCATAGGAAATTACAATATCCAGAATCGAATTTCCAGTAAAGTCAAATGCAAATGTAAATTTAGTGTTTAGAAAGTGCTAGTGAATGAATAAATATAAAATATATAACCGTTAAAAAATTCCTAATTAAAAATCAAAAGTTCATCTTCATATTTTGTAGGTAATTTGAGCGAAAATTTAAACGGAACTACCGCAAATAAACTGAATTTTAACTTTACAACGATTATTAAAAGTCATACTTGGGCCAAAAAATCCTTAGCTTGTTGCTGTGTTCTTGGATAACCTACGATAATAAAACCTGAATTTTGGCTTCCATTTTCAAGCATTTCATTATATAGAACATTGCGACAAATTTTCTGAAATAAAAAATCTTCAAAATCTTCGCCACATTTTGCAGATTTATCAAAAAATTCAATTTACCATTGGGATGGGATCGCCAATGTTCATTTTTTCACCAATTTTTTTCCATAATTCGTCATCCTGATTTTTGGAAACCTTCTGTCGTAATGACTCTCCCATACTTATGTAAAAAAATCCATATTTTACTGCAACAAGTTGAGCAATTTCATTTTTGCAGGCTCCAGGTGGGCCTAAAATGGAATATCATCCATAATTAATCGATTTATTTATCATTTATTGTTTATTGTTCATCATTTGTTATTTTTAAATCATACCAATAATCAAAATTATAAGGCTGTTTTTGAGTAACTCTTTAGGACTGACTTCGGAAGTGGTACTGTTTTGGGTTTCTGCTATTGTAGAATGGTCCGTATCAACTGAAAATCAAAAAAATGGAATAGATTAAATTAAAATAGACTTAAAATAGATTTAATTAGTACCTTTTCCACCTTCGACAGTTATGATAGAAGAAACATCTGCGGAAACAATTTCGTCTGGTGAAATAGCTGACGCATCTGCCGAGGGAACAAGTGTTTTTAAATCGGAGGACGATTTCCTTGATGCCAAACAATTTCCATTCTTGCCTTTACTGTTGTTGGCACTAGTTTTTGCTGGAAATAGTTTCATTTTTTCAACCTGATTTGTATTTTTGTATAGGTGTAACACTGGCTTGCTTTGATATACTTAACTATAGGGCGAGAAATGAACATTTTCACTCCAACTGCAGCTAGCTTGGAGGATAAATTGAATAAATTATCTATAAATTAATAAAATCGATGCTCGGCCTTCACAGATTTGCAGTAATTTATCTCATTTTACCCGTACCACTTTTTTATTTCCTTTTTTCTTTCCTTTCTCGTTCATTAAACGCATTATAACTTTGATAATTTTTAAATAAACAATTTTAAATTTTAATTTTAAATAGGATTTTCAACTCTAAGGAGTACACACATTTGTTAAATATTATATATTATTTATATTATACATTATTTATAAATTAATATAAGGAGAATAATTAATTTCTGCTAAAAATGACGAACGGAAACTTTATAGTTTTATTTTGCTTGACTGATAAGATAACCTTCTACTGGAGAAGTAATGTTGTGTGCTATCAGTCGCTGAACCGGTATAACTATCTCTGAAATGAAATGAAACAATATCGCATTTCCATTAATATTTTATAGATGCGATTCCGGATTTAAATCTGGTAAGGTGATCAAGAAATTCACCAGATTTTTAAATTATTTTATGGAAAAGATTAAAAAGGAATAATATGATTTGCGATTTCATTCTTCAGATTCCTACCCGTTTTGCATTAAATTTTATAACTTTTAATTTTCAGAACAGATCCCATGAAGAATTCGTTGATAACAAAAAAATCATACGAAATTTATAAAATGAAGCTTATCATTAAAAATAATTACCAGTTGACGAATGCCGTAATTTTGCTGATTCTCGCACTTCTTTGGCGGGAATTGAAGGTGAAAATGCATGAGCAGTGTGGGGAATTGAGCGAACAAAGTTAGCTGAGGCAGGCGACTTAATGGCGACAGGACTGCTCACCACTGAG